AGCCGGCGGCGGGGAGCTCGGCTGCGGCGCCGGATAGCGCGGAGGCGGTGCCGGGGAGGGTGATGGCGGCGGTGGAGGCGGTGGTGGCGGCGGCGAGGGAGATGGTGGCGGCGGCGGGGGTGGCGAGGGCGGCGGCGGCAACGGCGGAGGAGCGGTGGGAGGTGGCGGCGGAGGCGGCGGCGAGGGCGGAGGCTCGGAGGGGGGCGGCTGCGGCGGCGGCAGTGGCGGAGGAAGAGGCGACGGCGGCGGTGGCGGTGACGATGGCGGCGGCGGAGAGGGCGGCGGCGGTGGCGGTGACGATGGCGGCGGCGGAGAGGGCGGCGGTGGTGGCGGAGGGCGGGGTGGTTGCCTGGGTGGTGGCGGTGACGGCGGCGGCGGCGGCGGCGGCGGCGAGGGCGGTGGGGAGGGCGGCGGCAACGGCGGCTCGGGCGGCCGGACGGGTGGCGAGGGCGGGAGGGGCGGATGGGCCGGGGAGCGGTCGAAGAGCATGTGTGAGAAGAGAGCTTCGTAGCCAAAGGCGACAGACGCGATGTCGGGCGGTGGCGGAGGCTGCGGAGGAAAAGGCGGTCCCGAGGGTGTCGGAGGCGGACGCGGAGGGAGGGGAGGCTGAGAGTCGTCACCCAGCATGGACGTGAATGGCAGCCACTGCTGGCGCCGCCGATGACCACCATCACTGTGCAGATCTGCGACCGCATGCAAATCGCCGACGCCTGGCCATTCTCCCTGCGGTACAGGCCCGTGAGCCATCTCTGTAGGCGCTGCTCCAGGTCGCAGGGAGGTGGTGGGCGCCGGGCTCACGCGGATCGGGTTACCCGATCAGGGAGAGTACATGGTGGGAAAGCTCGAAGTGGCAGCCGGCTTGATGTGCGACCAAGTTGGACTACTCTGCGGTATGAATGGTTGGGCAGGTGTGAACAACACCTCCTGTGCAGGTGTGAGCAGCAGCTCCTGAGCACGGCGCCGCAGGCGCCTGTTGATAGGTCCAGGTGATAGCCCTGGATGAGCAATGCATACGCCTAGTTGGACCTCAGATCACTCGCCCGCGTCCCGGTGCTCTGCCGTCGGATTTGATTTGATTTGTTCGGATTTGTGACGCCGCCGCACCGCGCCGCGGCCGGGGGCCCTCCGGAGGCCGAGGATGGCCGTGGCGGACCGGGACGAGCTTGGGAGGTAAAGTGTCAGTGTATACATTGTAGAGACAGACCATGTGCACTATATCTCTCAGTCTAGCTAAGCCAGGGGAGGCGATGCCGGGGCCGTACAGCAGCTTAATGGTGCTTCGCCGGCGTGCGTCCCGGAGCGGTGCCGGACGGGCGGTCCGGGGGAGAAAACTCAGGGCAACGCCGACGTCGCTCTGATTCGACTTTTTAATTTCAAACAAAGACAGTGGCACGCGCCGCAGCGCGGTGCATGCCACTGTCAGGTGAGCGGATCCGTCAGTTAGTCGTGTTCACGCCGGCATCGTGCCCTGACTAACCTGCCCAACCATTCAGGGCGACGAGTAGTTGTGCAAAAGAGAATTTTACAACAAAGCTCTCTCGCACAGGCACGATTCACACAACAGGCAGGAAAGAGGACGACGGCTTCTAATAGAAGCCGTCGTCCTCACAGAAGCCGTCGTCGGAATCGTGCCTGTGCAAAAGAGAATTTTACAACAAAGCTCCCTCGCACAACACGGGGCACGGGACTGGCTCGCACTGGCACTAACAAAGAGAATTTTGCTGCCACGCGCCCGCGAGACGGTTTTGGGCGTGGAGGGCGGGGACAGGGGCGGGAGGGTGGGGAGGTGGGACCCGCGGACGGGGTCCGGGACGGTCGAGGCCGTCAAGGGCCAGTACACGGACGCAGAGGGGAAGTGCCGTGTGGAGGCGCTGCTCTTCGAGGAGTTCGGCGCAATGAGCGCGGGGGTGGAGGAGCTGCTCCTGAGGCGGGTGGCTGAGGTGGCGGGCGTTGCAGAGCGTTGCAGAGCCATGGCGGGTGGCTGAGGTACCTCCCGCACGACACTGGGCACGGGACTGGCGCGCACTGGCACTAACACAGGTACACCAAAAGAGAATTTACCGCCGGCTCATTCCCATCACCGTCTCACAGACCTGCGTACAGGCGCTCGAGTGCTCCACTCGCTGCCTACTCGCTGCCTCTGGGGAGGAGGGGAAGACGTCGGGCAGCTCTCACTTCTGTGATGAGCGCTTGGCTGAGGCCCCTCCC